GTCCATCTGTTAACAGCATTTACAAATTTTCGTAAAACCAAAATTTAAAAAATTTAAATCTGTGTATTGAAAAAAACCAACGTTAAATAGTTTGGATATTAATCAGGTAACTAAAAAAAATTATGTATTTTTTCGGCCAACAATAATTAAGGTGGAGAATTTTTCAGAAATTTTCTTTTATTCAAAATATATATTTTTTCTTTTTTACTTTTTAAGATAAGGTTCATTGAATTTAAAAAGAAAAAAAAAAGATAAGGTTCATTTTCCAAAGCTATTTACTGCAAAAGAACTTATATGCTTTGTTCTTCAAAAAGATAAGGTTCATTGATTCTTAGAACTTATATGCTTTGTTCTTCAACTCCCTGCAGATTCGAGATCTCTTAAAGATGGTAAAGAAGTTGATTCCTTTATTCGTGGTAATGGGTTTGTGATAGATTCGCAATTAGGATCGAAACTCGTTCTTATGTGTACACAAATTGTGGTGATTTGGAAGAAGCAAATCAAATTTTCGATCAAGTTAAAGATCGAGAAAGCTCTGTTCTGGAATATATTGATGAATGAGCTTTGGAAGTCTGGTGATTTTAGTGGAAGTATTGGATTGTTCAAGAAAATTATGACTTTTTGTATCGAAATGGATCTGTATACGTTTTTTTTCTTCTTCAGGTTTGCGTAGTGTTGATGGAGGTGAACAGCTTCATGGTTATGTTCTGAACTCAGGTTTTGGTGATTGCAACTTTGTGGAGGCGAATTCTCTTTGTCTTTTATTTGACGAACGAAAGAGTCAAGAGTGCACGTAAGGTGTTTGATGAAATGACTCAACGAGATGTTATGTCTAGGAATTTGATGATTGATGGGTATACGTCGAATGGTTTAGCTGAGCAAGGACTGTATGTGTTCGTGGAGATGTTGGCTTCTGGAATCGTGAGCAATAGACAAATACGAGTTGTGGATAGCGTTCGGTGGACAAGACGGTGCCGTTCAGTGTTCGAGGATAGCATGTAACCCATTTGGTCATGACGATGTGCTCAGTGTGTGTTCGTTGAGAGAAGAGTGTGGAACATGAAAAATAATCGATTATCATGCCTACACAGAACCATTTCCAAGAACTTTTCATGACCACGCCTAAGACACATTGCAAATGTCTCTTGATAGGTAATTGAAGAAACAATAACAACTTGGAACATGGCCAAGAGATAGGAAAATACTACAATTCCAGTGTGGATATTGGAAAGGATCACATGGATACGATCCCGTGGATGCAATCGTGACAACCAAAACTAAATTTTCCTACTACCGAACCAAAACTTAATTATGCAAATACAAGTCGTACAAAAAATTATGATTCCAAAACAGTTTTGCACTTCTATTGTAATTTTCTTAACCTAAAATTCAATTATAATGGTAAGGTTTATGGTTACATATCCACGATGATTCAAGTAAAATTTGAAAAAGGTACATAAAAACATGGAACAAGTACCTGAAAACCTTGTTTTTTTTGAATTTTTCAAATTGGATTTGTATTTTGGTAGTCCGGTTTTGTCCACCATATTTCATCCACGAAAACATATCCACCATTGATGATTCTATAAAAATCTTAAAGAAGATTCACTTTTCCAAACTTCGTACTCAGTTTTTATGTTTTCTTGTATTTTCCAAACTTAAAGAAGGTTCACTTTTCTTGGCATCATCCGTATGCACAACTGCTTCAAAACGGACTACGAAAGTAGCAATTCAAACTGAAAAATACAAAAAACAACACAACAATTCACAAAGCTTCCATATTTTGAAGGCGACAAAAGAACAAGAACAAACAATGGAAAAAACAATTAACATGACCTGCATGAAACACAAATATTAAGAATGATAAATATACATTGATGTCTAAAACAGAACAATGAAACATTAAAAAAATCAAATCCAAAGAAATTGTCCGACAAAATTAGAGGAATCATGGCGAGATGGAGAAGAAGACGTACTAGATCTTCAAAACCAGAACCCAACGAAAATTGCTACTACTCCTACGACTCTCCAACCTGTAAAACCAACAACATAAGCTATGAAGAAAAACATAGAACAGATCTCCAATGGTAAGCGACGCAACTATGGCTCGAATTATCGATTGTTTAGCTAATTGGATTCTCCAAACCAATTAATCTGGGACGAAGTGAACTCGGATCAACGGAATTTGAGGTAAAGGAGATTAAAGAAAGGAACGATGAGGAGTTAGGGAGTACCAATCCGCATAGAGGTAATCGGGAACATCGGAAGAATCTCGTACGAGATAACGATCGAATTTTCCGTAGCCATTAAAAGGTTTGAGCTTAGCGAACAAAGAAGGAGGAGATGGAAGCATGAGAGACAAGAACGACATCGGTTGAGTGTTTTGATAATCTTTGTCGGGGCCGTCGTCTTTCACTTCTAATCTGTAAACTGTGATGTCCGATTCGATGACTTTTAATATGAACCATTGATATAACAGCAAAAAAATACAAGATAAACGGCCAGGATTAAAAAAAAACGTAACTTTATCTTCAGCTGGCTATAAGCTGAACCAGGGACACTTTGGGGATTTAAAAATATGCACAGTGGAAAAAGTATAGCTTTTATCAAAAAGTACATCTTGGTGTAATATCTTCTCTACAAAGTATTTTTAGGTGTAAACAACCCCTTTAAACATTAGTAGATTAC